TTTTTTTTTTTTTTTTCCCTTCTCTCCTAGGGGCTACACAATGGCAGTCTTCTCTCAGTAAGATGAATCCTGCTTCGCCTCCTGCAGATCCACCCATCTTCATAGCGATCAAGTAAAAGGCTATGGTTTTCTCTTTGGGGATCTTTTGTGCATTACTGCTCTCCCTGATTAGTTTTGGTCTCAGTTGGGATTTCTTTGCTTTTTTGTTTGGCTTCATGCTGAAAAAGGATTTTTCCCCCAACCTTTTGGTAATAATCCGATGGTGACCAAGAGGGGATAAATCATTCACCCTGGCCGAAAAAAAACAATCGCTGAGAAGTCTCAAAGAAATATACCACGTGAGGGGAAAGAACTGGGAGAAGATCCGGAATATTATCGTTTTTCCTATGGTAAAACCGGTGCCCCTCTTCAGGAGAACTGATTTCAAATTATTATTATGCAACCACAAGGATCTCTTCTTTCTCAGGGTGTCTAAGCTGCTGGATTGCTTTTCGCCCAAATCAATGTGGTTTCTTTGGAACATTTTCAGCAAAGGAACGCATATGCTGCAGTGTCTTTGTGGCAAGAGTCTTAAGAAAAACAAGAACCCAACTGGTAAGCAAAACATGCCTCATGTTATGTTTTTCCTCGTAATAACCTGTCTGTTGCTCATGGAGCTAGATCTGCAGTTCTGCTATGCAGGAGGCAGGGGAAACATACCAGGAACCAGGACAGTGTTGCATATAGAGGTGTTGCATGAATAAACAAGTAACAGCTGGATCAGTGGCTGAGCACCCCAAAACCATTATCAGCATCTCTTGGCAGAGACACAATCCATTGCTAGGAGGGAGGAGGAAACTTTTCTTAAAAAAATGTATTGGGTGGCCTAGGTTTGGTGGAATATCGTAGGGCTATGGCTTAAGGTTGTGCCCGAGGCAGCTGAAGCTTCGGTAGTTGCCAGGAAAAAGAGCCGCGAGCTCTCCTTACTTCTGCTGCAGGTTCGGGGACATAGCTTGGTGCCAAGAACCTGCTCTAGACTTTCTGATTAGCTTGCACAATATTTGCCACCGCGATCACCTTTACCAAAGTAAAAGCGGCCCCCTCCTTCGCGGCCCGCTCCTCCGTCAGCCCCCGCCTCCCTCTCGCGTCTAGCTCCGGCTGCCCCAGTATTAACTCATCCCCCTGCCTGCCTCTGACACATCCTGCCACTGGGTATACTTGAGCAGGGCTTATGCCTGGAGCGAACCCCAGACTCAGACAAGCCCAGCCCCTCCAATATGCGTGGTTTAACCCCCCTCCCCTCCCGCGCCCTTTGAAAAGCAGAGTTAAAACCCTGTCCTCGGGGTCCCAGCAGGGTGTGAGCCAGGCCGTTAGGTCCCGGCTTGAAGCCTCCTGGTGATCATCCGCCCCGGTTCCAAAGGGCTCCAACAGGGAAACTTGCAGTATATTACATAAGAAATGCAAATGTAGGTGATTTGGGGAGTCGGATCCCAGGGCTTCACTTCCTCGCGTCTCAGTCCCAGGAGCCTAGAGGCGGCCGCGGAGCTGTGGGCGAGCGACCCAGGGGACAAGGCCGGAGGGCTGCGTGGTGGCGGCAGCGCGGGCGCCAGCGAGGAGATTGGGCGCTGCCTTTCCCGGAACCGCGCTCGCTGGCAGCTGGGGGTGTGAGGCGTCCCCTGGCTCGGTTCAGGGTCGCGAGGGACCGGGGGCCGAGTGTTTGTGTCTGGGGCTGCGTTTGAAGGAGGGGGCGGGGGGTTCGGCCGTCCTGCAGTGGCAGCCTGGGCGCTGGAGGCTCCTGACGCTGGCACTGCGGTGCCGTAGATCACGGCTCTCCGCGGCCGCCCTGACACTCCGGGCTCAGCCGGGGCCGCGCTGGCACCCAGAGCCCCGGCGGCCGCTGGGCAGCAAGTGGCTGCTGCCTCCCAGCCTCCGAACCTTGCCAATGCAGCCGAGCCAGGGTGGCGCGCTCCGAGGGGCTGCCGCCCGCGAGCCACGCGGGAGGCACGCGAGGAGGTGTGGGTGGGCGGGGATGGAGGTGGCGGGTGTGGAGGCTGAGCACCCTTTGTGGCCGTCACTCCTGCAGCAGAAGGGAGACTGCGAGTTGTTAGACCATCCAAAAGGGCAGAAGCTCGCGTGCTCAGGCGGAAAATGTGGCCTCCAGCTGGGACTTTGAGGTGTCAGTTTGAGGCTCTGGGAGCAGAGCAGCCTCTGGCTGCGCGGCGGGCTCGTGCTGCAGTGGGCTCTGGGCCCTGTTCTGGAGTCCCCAGCCCCAAGTTCTAGCTTCTCCACCCTGGCCACTCACTCTCAGTTCCCCCCCCTTCGCCTGTCCTTTTACCCTTCTCTCTCCTAACTCCTCAGCGCTTAGCAGCTCTGAAAGGATACCGTCAGCCTGAGCATTACCTAAGGGGCAAGGGGGCTGTCACCTTACCATCCGCGTTTCTAATTCAGCTGTGAGGTGTGCCCCAACCCTGGCAGCAAATCTAACATTTGCTGACGCTTTGTTCATACAAAACTAACCCATATCTGCAATGTTAATTTACAACCTAATCTGAGCCCCTTTTTGCGAGACTTCCCTAAAGTGGGACAAGCCAAGCCTCCTGCGTGAGGAGGGGTTACCGCCTCACACAGTAGAATAGTGGGTTTGGGGGTGGCGCCTGTGGCTCAAGGAGTAGGGGCCCAGGCCTCATATACCGGGGGTGGTGGATTCCAACCGGTCCCAGCCAAAACTGGAAAAAAAAAAAAAAAAGTGGGTTTTGAAGCGTTCTTGTTTCCTTCTATGAAAAGACTTAACTCCATCCTGAGAAAAAATACTGTAAAATCATTTTTTTTAGATACTACCATTTATTTGTCTGGGGACCTTGAAGCCAGTGGGCCCATAGTCTTGGAGAGTAGGGAATAATTCAGCAAGGAACGTTAAGTTTCTTTACAGGGCTTTGTGGGGTTCTTTTGGTTTGTTTTTGGTAAATAATTTTGCTGGAAACTCTTAATTTCTCCCTATACATGATTCAAGTTCTTTTTATTACCTCTCCCCCACCCCACCCACTTTCATCTCTGTGGAATAGTTTTTCCCTTCCTTTTAAGGCGTTTTGGAATGTGTTAATCAAATGACTATTCTTAGAGCAATTTATTTTGCAGCTTACAAATGCTAAGAGTACCTGGGTGTGAATTAATAGGTTAAGTCAAAGTGTGTCTAACAACATCTAATAGGATATTTTAGTTTTAGATTGCTAGGGATTGGACTTCCAACTTGGGAGTTAGAGTATTTAGTAGATTTTTAAAAAATAGGACATTAATGTGTCACACTATATATCTCACCTAAAAGTTTTTACCTGTTAAACTAGGCTCAAACTTATGCCTGGCCATTCTCTTTCAGCCTTGTACTTAGTGAGTTCCATTCTCCTTCTGCTATTAACATGAAGTCGAAAATCATTTGCAGGTTTTTGATGCCAAGATAGCAGTATAACTAAGAAGTTAATTGGGTAATTAAAATAAAAAAAGGACTAAAATCCTCTTAACTTTTACAACCTAAAAGAACAGATTGACTACTATCTAATATGTTTATCTTATACCTAAGAAGAGGCCAATTAACTGCTTTCAAACTAAGAAACTTGGCAGAAAACTAAGATGTTATCAGTGAACTTCATATAAAGCACTTCTTAGTATTTCAGAGATAAATATTAGATTAACTTTTCTTCCCAGTCTTTGCAAGTTATGACATAATTTACTGATTATTCCCTATTCTTTAAACTGTCAACAAGTGTGAGTAGTTTGATCCAGAGTTCCTGATAGGAATTCCAAAGCACTGCTATCCAGTCATGTTGGTGTAAAAATAAGCAGATAATAGGGTTGTGAATCTAAGGGCAAAGTTATTTATCCACCCCAAAGTTTTTAATTAGCTTCAGAGTACTTAAACAAGAAGTGTTAAATGGTATTTTGGAGTTGTTTTATTGTAAAATTTAACTGGAGAAGAACAAGAAAAATGATTTGCACAATATATGCTTTTAAAAATAAATTGCAATAACTTGAAAGTCCTGGATATAAAGTAAATTTAGTATCTTCACAAAAAACATCCAATATCTCACAACTATTGTTAGAGAACACACACACACACACACACACACTCACCTGCTTAAATGTCCTACTTTCCTAGCAGAGCAATAGCTATGAATTTAGAATAAATGTTACCTGCTTCAACTTTCACTGCATGAGTCATGCAAGGTGACTATATTTTAGGCATATCATTAAATAGGGAATACTAAGTCCAAGACACTTATTTTGCCTGAAGGACGCTTTATATGTTTCTTTAAACCAGCATGATAGTTTGGGCTGACCAATGTATATATAACAGGCTGGTTTGGGAAGTAATCTAGGTCACTGCACTTTAAGGCAAGGTACTAAGGAAAGAAATGTGGTTGAAAAAAGGAAGAAGTCGGGCGGTGCCTGTGGCTCAGTGGGTAGGGAGCCGGCCCCACATACTGAAGGTGGTGGGTTTGAGCCCAGACTGGCCCGCTAAAACAGCAGTGGCAACTGCAACAGAAAATAGCCAGGTGTTCTGGTGGTCTCCTGTAGCCCCAACTACTTGGGAGGCTGAGGCAAAAGAATTGCTTAAGCCCAGGAGTTGGAGGTTGCTGTAAGCTGTGACACCACAGCACTCTACCAAGGGTGATGAAGTGAGACTCCGTCTCTAACAAAAAAAAAAGAAAAAAAAGAAGAAGAAGAAGTAAAGGTAAATACTAAGGTTATGGACTTGCTGACTCTTCAGATATATAATATGAAATAAAGGAAACCACAAACCTGCACATACATACATGCATGGAATCTCCACACAGGATACCCCCAAACTTCAATGCTTTGATAGCATTTTGGAAAACACAGATCTTAAGATATGTAGCAAATTGTAATAAAAGGTAATTTTATTGATTAGGAGTGTTAGTGGAGTGGAAAGTGACAGTAGCAAGCAGATCCCCTGGCCTACACCTAGTTCTTCAGAGCACATTACGTGTCTTTTTCCAAGCTTTCTCTCTCTGTGTCAGGTAACTTTGAGATGTAACAAGCAGGGTTTGCTAGGACCCATTATCACGTTCTATTTCTTGCTTGTTAGTCTGCTTTTCTGCTCTGCTTTGTGTTTAACTAAGTTGTTTTAGGTGCCAAAAACCACCTGATCTGCTGCTGTTACTCATTTAAATATATATTGTTTTTTTTAAAAAGCTACTTGCTTTACATCTAGGGCTGTCATGGTGTTTTGAAGTGAGAAATGGGGAGAAAGGGAAGAAAAAAGAGAATTAGTACTTTTTACTCTTTCTCTTTCTTGGCCTGCTGGCTCATCCTGTGTTGCTGTAGAGCTGGGTGAGCCACAAAATAGGCCACAACCTCTGCATTTCTAACCATTGAACATGTGTCAAATGAAGACACCCAATCCAGACTGTGTGGTTGGAACACCAGACAGGTGTAAGGTGCTTATTCTTTGAACACACTTGGCTTTAGAGTGGGACTCAATGTAGTTGGGTTTGGACTCCATCCAGGAAGCTTTCATTACTGAAGTAGCAAAATGAGTTTTACAAAGCAGTGCTACTCTGTGAACCAAACGATGGCATTTTAGACAGGCTTCCAAATAC